TGGAGCGTCACCCTGCCAATGCACGGGACCCTGGCTCATGCCCTGGCCCAGGAAGATCCCACATGCCGCGTAGCGGCTGGGCCCATGAGCCTTGGCCGCTGAGCCTGCGCATCTGGAGCCTGTGATCCGCAACGGGAGTGGCCGCTACAGTGAGAAGCCCGCGTACTGCAAAAAAAAAAAAAAAAAAAAAAAAATTGCATCCTTGTGCTTAACCGCCAATTTCAAACTTCCAAGACCTGCCCTGCCGGGTTTGCCCTCCCCGTTTCCCATTGGCCATGAGTCAAAAGAAGAAATAATTTGATTGGCTATATCTTTCACTTCCTCTGTCCCTTTAAGGACTTGGGCAGGGCCTGGTTGAGATACAACTGTCCATCATAGGAGCGGGAACGCTGATTGGTCCAGATGTATCTGGGCCCCGCCCGCGCCGTTCCCCGGGTTCAAATGCTGCGGCGGGACGCCCGGGGCGGAGCGGAGCGCTGACTGGCGGGTCGGGTGAGGGTGAGTCTGGTCCCCCTACGCCCAATTTCCCTTCCACCCCATTCTGCAAGACCTGGGGAAGGGCCTCCTCCACCCACACCAATCCCGGCTTTGCCTCTCGGAGCCGGGAGGGCGGCGGTTCCGCCCCCAGGGCTTCCGGGGGTCGGGAGGGTCTTCCTAGGCTGGCGGTGCACTGGCCCACCTCCACCGGAGCCGAAGGGTCGGCCAGGCGATGCTGGGGACAGAGGAATTGTTCCTTTCTCAGGCTTGGTGGGGTCCTGTGTTTATTCTGCCCTGCCTCCTGTCAGCATTACTAGTGGGGACTGGTAGCGCCTTAGAATCTGTGTGACCTTATTTGCTTTAGTGTCTTCATACTCTTCGTACCCGTCCATCACTCCTACTTCCTGCCTCTTTCACCCTGTTCCAGCCCCTCTGGTCTCCCAGCTATTGTTAGAGAAGCCTAGGTCCTGCCTCAGAACCTTAACTCTGGCTGTGCCCTCTGCCCGGGATACTTTTCTTTCCCCAAATATCAGCAAGGCTTGGTGCTTAACGCCCTTCAGGTTTTGGTTCAGATGTCACCTCAGTGACGTTACTCTGACGCCACTGTTGTACACACACTGCCATGCCCCAATTCCCCCATCTTGCTCTTTTTCTTTTTTTTTTTTTTGAACCTCATGGCGCTTGAAACCTTTCAACATACATGTATTATGTAATTTGCTTATTTTTAGTGATTTATTCAGTAGCTATTGGTATTTATGTGCCGGGCTATATGTTTCCCCACTATATGAAGATAAAAGTCCCTGCCCTGGTGTAGCTTACATTCTGAGGAGGGCAGATAAACTTTTAAGTAAGAGAGTATGTCAGATAAGTGTTACTCCTGTTACACTGAATAAAAATCTGATTTTTAATCTCCGTCACCAGACTGAGCATCCCAAGACGCAGTGGTGGCTGATTTTCACCTCCCTTTCCTGATATCCTGAGGGAGGTCGGGATCTCTCAAGCCCTTCCTGCTCAAATCTGCAGAACACATTTAACCCATCTCCCTTCATCACCAGTGGGGAGATGTTGAAGTTCAAGTATGGAGCACGGAATCCGCCCGACGCTGGTGCTGCGGAATCCATTGCCAGCCGGGCCTCCAGGTTGAATCTTTTCTTCCAGGTAACAGACTGCCTTGCCAACTTTGCTCACTTCTGTGTGTTTCCTTGGAACCTCTTTGTTACCTTTGCTTTTGTTATAGGACTGAGGCTAATCCAGGAGAAAATCCCCTTTGGTGTTTCATATGAGCTGATAGTTTTGGAAAGGAGCCATTGTTCAGACAGGAGTGGGTAGCTGAACTTGCCCTGGAAGGAAGACCTTTTTCATGACTTCAGTACTAAAGTTTGTCCTTTTATTAAAGAAAAGTAATTGAAAAAAGACACTCTTTTGACCGAAATTTCTATACTTGTAATCCTATAGAAATATAGAAATCTTTTTCATTCAAGGGATGTTTATGGTTTAGATTAAAAAAAAACAGTTTTGATAAATACCACACCTGTGAAACCCCCTTTCCTCTCAAGATACAGAACATTTCCATCACGCCAAAGGATTAAAACTTAATGTTGTCAGATTTTTTTTCCACATAGATTTCTAATTCTTTTGTTTCTGATGTAGGTGGAACACCGTTGATGTAGAAATCCTTGTTTGACTTATGTATTCATAAGTCAAACGGACAGTACAGGTAGTGGTGAAGATTTAGGTTTGAACCCTGGCCCCAGTACTTGTTAGCTGTGTTACCTTGGGCGAGTCAGTTGCCTTCTCTGAATCCATTTTCCGTTCTTTATAATAGAGGTTATAACACCTAATTTACAGAGTTGTGAGGATTAAATGAGATAATCCATGTAAAGTACTTAGTTTCTTGCCCAGCTCTTGGTAAGCCCTTTATAAATGGTAACTATTATTAATAATAAGTGTAGAAATAGTTTTAGTGACAGTAATAATACATTTTTTATTAGCAATCTTTCCTGATCTTTTTCTTTCCAATTAATACATGCTCTCATAGGCTTTTTAAAAAAATTTATTTAATTTTTGGTTTTGTTGGGTCTTCATTGCTGCGCGTGGACTTTTCTCTAGTTGTGTAGAGTGGGGGCTACTCTTCGTTGCGGTGTGCGGGCTTCTCACTGCATTGGCTTCTCTTGTTGTGGAACACGGGCTCTAGGTGCGTGGGCTCAGTAGTTGTGGCTCATGGACTCTAGAGCTCAGGCTCAGTAGTTGTGGTGCACGGGCTTAGCTGCTCCACGGCATGTGGGATCTTCCTGGACCAGGGCTTGAATCCGTGTCCCCTGCATTGGCAGGTGGATTCTTAACCACTGCGCCACCAGGGAAGCCCAGTAAAAATAAATTGATGTTCACATAGCAGTAGTTATATTTAAGAAGGCATTTTTGTATGATACCTGTATGATGATAAATAGTAATACTATTTAATAGTAAGTTAATAGTAATACTATTAAATTTAATAGTATTTAATAGTAATACTGTTACATTTAAACCAACTATACTGGTTTAAATGTAATAGTATTTTACAATGTTATATTAGTTTCAACACTAATACGATCTTGAGGACATTTTTCCCAAGATACTGGTATTGGGGAATGTTCAAACAGATCAGAATAGGGACAGATTGAAAGTGTAGGTGGGACCATCCCCATCACCATTTAAGTTATGAGCCATTTTTCACTAATGAATAGTCTATTTTTAACCTCAGCTGACTGAATGCTACCACGTTTTAGCCCATTTATCATTTTACTCCCAAACTTTCAACTTATAATAGTATTTATTAAGGGCTTATCATGTGCAGATGTGGAGGGAGACAAAGACTTGCCCAGAATCACACAGCTTGTAAATGGCAAAGCCACGCCCAGTTTTTGGTCTGTGGGTATGTAACTGCTGGGCAATACCGCCAGAGTATGTCAGAGTTTATTAAGTGTGTCTTGTACTTAAATGTCATTTTAACAGCAAGAATTGTGGATAAACCCCTAATTCATCTTTTTTTTAAACTAATGAGTTCCACCCCGCCCCCAGGAAAGCTGTTATTTGCAAGTGTAGCATAACCCTAACATTCGCCTTAATATAGACAGGTAAGGATACTGTTTTTCCCCCTTCCAGCTGAAACTGCATTCCTTCTTGGATGGGACTTGAACCCAGCCAAAACTCAGATTGGACTTGAACCCACGATCCCTGACTTAGGAGGGGACTTGAACCCACTCTCTTTTAATTGAAACTGCTCACCTGGTGTCAGGGCTTACTGAAGCTCAGGTTCTCTTGTCTCAGCACAGAAAAGGCAAAGAGTGAGTTTCTTAGCCTAGGATGCTTGTGAGAGATACAAACAGCCAGCAAGGGAATGCAGCCCCGAGAACAAAGAGGGGCTACATTTTTATAGTCAAAGAAAAAGTGGGGAGGGGAGAAGACCACCTTTTTTCTCATTTTTGGGCAGACATCAAGGCTTACATCATTAGTTCTTCCTTTGACCCTATATGGTCTAACCGGGACTGTCATGGTGCTACTTAAATCATGTATATTAGCAGGAGAGTGGTAACATATACTAAAATATGGTAATTCATCTCAGGTTTCAATATAATGTTCCCTTTCACCTAGTTTCTTTCTCCTTTCACCTATATTTCTGTCTTGGCTACATGCAGAAATGCTCCTCTTCAAGGACCATTAACTTCCTGACTTCGTGTAAAAAGATTCAGACCCCATATCTATTGTCTCGTGTTTTAGCTATCAGGACTTGTGGCTTTAGTGTACTTGGTACTTGGATGCACCTGGTCTTCCTTCAAGGTAGTATAGATTGTTGCTAGGTTACTGGATTCTTTTCTTGAGTGGTCATTAGCTTATAACAGTCTCCCAGACTCCCTTAAAATTTCCTCTGTGTCCTTAATCCCCTAGTGGGATTTCTAAACTGTTTAATTATCCTACTCTATCCCTATCCCAGCGCCCTTTTAATGAGGTTTGGATAGAGAGTAGTGGTTTTGTTTTCCATTTAGGTAAGTACTTTAGACAGCGTCTCAGTTTCTACTTAACAGAACTTCCCCACAAGCTCTAGGTCAGTGGTTGGCAGAGTTTTAAATTTTCGAGCCAGCAGAATTTTACAAATTTGCTGGGCTGACCTAGGTTTGCCAACTTTCTATTTTGCCAAGTAAGGAATGTAAAAAACACACAGAAAAAAGAAAATCATATTATCTTCTTTATTTCATAAAGAAAGGACATTTTAAGAAATACCATTAGAGGAAGGACATCGTTGCAGAATAAAGGACCATTTTACAATTTGAATACATGTAGCTTTATAAAAGAGTCATCATGTGGTGTTCATCTTTTCTTATTTCATGGCAGACTTGAAAACTTTGTTAAGACTCACTACTGTATTTGGGAACAGCTGCTTAAACTCATTAAGGAACAGAAGAAACAAAGAATCTTAGTTTCCCAGTTAGTGGCAGAACTCTAAAGTGACAGAAGGGTGGCCTTTTGTGACCCAGTGCTTCACAAATCTGGCTGAGGTCTGACTTTCTAGGGAGGACTTGTTTCTAAACATATTCTAAGCTACAAACTGGGAAATTGGAATTCAGTAGGTTGGGGTGGAACCTGAGAATCTGTTTTTTTTTGTTTTTTAAGTGCTCCAGTTCTCCAAGTGATTCAGATGTAGCCAATCTGTTTCTGTTATCCGGTGCTGTGTAACAAACCACTCACAAAGTTTAAACCAACAGTGATTTATTTTGTCTTATGATTCTGTGAGTTGGCTGCATTCAACTAGGTGGTTCTTCTGCTGGAGTCACTCATGGGGCTGTACTGAGTTGGGAGCTTGGCTGGGACTGGAACATTTGGGTGCCACCTGCTGGCTGGGGAGCCTCAGGGTTATACTGACCTCTCTTCTCCAAAGGTCTTTCATTATTCAGTCAGTCTAACCTGGGGCTTGTAATTTTTTTCTGTGGATAATAAGTATTTTAGATGTCATGGGCCTTACGGTCTCTGCTGCAACTAGTCAACTCTGTCATTGTAGCACAGAAGCAGCCGTAGACGATATGTAAATTAATAGGTATGGCTGTGTTCCAATAAAGCTTTATTTATAAAAACATGCAGTGGGCCAGATTTGGCTGACCCCTGGTCTAGCCCAAGCTTCTTGACTTGGTGGATGGCTTCCCCAAAAAAGCAAAAGTAGAAGCTGCCAGACTTCTTAAGGGCTCCACCTTGAACTGGCACATGATCCCTTATGTCATGTTCTGTTGGTTGACGTGAGTCATGGCGATGGCACAGATTCACGGGGAGAGGAAATAGATTCCGACTCTTGGTGGGTGCAGTGGCAAGTGCCTTCAGAGTTAGAGGAACTGTTGGTGGCCAGCTTTGCAGAGAGACCTGCACACAATCCACAGCTTGGCACATGGGTTTCGTTGCTCTAGACCAGGGGTGCAGACTCATGTCTTTGGGGGGCCAGGCAGTGTAAAGGAGTCAAGTGAGCCAGATGGAAGAGCTGCGAGTCAGGTCTGCAGTGAAATGCAGACCACATCCGCTACCCAGAGGGGCAGCGCTCCTCAGCTGCAGCTCAGCAACCCCAGGCAGGAATGTGGGGCATGGTTGCCAGATCTGCCAGGGTCTCATGAGAAGCCAGAAATCCTCCCCTCCCCCCCTTTTTTTGGTGTGAAATCTCCTGATTTTTCAATATTGGCAGATAGCTCAAATTATTTTAAATACCACAGGCCAAACAAAACATGTCTGCAGGCTAGACGCAGTTTGCCAGTTTGCAGCTGTTGCTCGAGATCCTGAATAAATTCAGCTTTAGTGCAGTCACTCCATTTACACGACCCTAGATTGTTCAAGTGAATTAAACTGAAGTTATGTCAGCAAACCTCTGGGAACACAGGGAGGAAGAGGCAATCATTGTGTCCTAGTGCAGAGACATGGAGATGTGACAGGACCAGCAGGGTTCGGAGTAAATGTCCCCACGAGCCTCAGACCATTAAGAAAGAAGGACCTTTTCTTATTCTTGGCACGCTGGTGAAGTTTTTCTCCCGAGGTGCTGGAGGAAGAAGCCCACGGTGATGGAATGTACAAGTGATAACTTAATGACTGTCAGTGGATGTTGCTTTAAAGAACGAGGCCACTGAATTATGTTGTTAGTGTGTGTCGTGAGCAGTTAGTCGAGTTGGTGGCTTGCACTTTACTCTGCGTGGATGTTATTGATCAAAGCTTTTCATTATTGACAGTGTCTCCATCTGCTGTTTGCTGTTTTTAGGGGAAACCACCCTTCATGACTCAACAGCAGATGTCTCCTCTTTCCCGAGAAGGGATATTAGATGCCCTCTTTGTTCTCTTTAAAGAATGCAGTCAGCCTGCTCTGATGAAGATTAAGCACGTGAGCAACTTTGTCCAGAAGTGTAAGTGTGGGCAACTTTTTCCTGAAAACTGTCCTGCTTAGAGAGAACTAGAAGGATGCCAGAGGCGGGATGCGTTTGTGGTCGGTGGGAGTGGGTGGGAACTCTGCTTTAGATGGACTCACCTTCAAGGTCAGCTTCCACCTTCTGTCTCTGGGAGACCGGATAAGTCAGGCCTCTTGGTTGCAAGTGACAGAAACTCAACTCAAACTAGCTTAGGCCAAAAAGTGAATTAAAATTTTTTTTAATTTTATTGAAGTATCTAGTTGATGTACAACATTGTATTGATTTCTGCTGTACAGCAAAGTGATTCAGTTATATATGTTGTTTTTCATTAGGGTTTATCACAGAATATTGAATATAGTTCCCTGTGCTATGCAGTTGGACTTTGTTGTTTATCCCAAAAAGTGAATTTTTTTTGGCTCATGAAACTGATAGTCCAGGGATGGGTCAACTTTTAGGCATGGCTGGTTCCAAGGACTTAAATAATGTCCTCTGGCTCTATCTTTACACTCACTCAAAGCTAATTATTCATTAGGCATTATAAGCACAGTGCTTAGCGCCCACAGTATTTAATTTTAATAAATTGAATTTATTGTAATTAGTTTAACTTAATTTATTTTAAAATCATAAGAAAAATATGGGTATGCTAATAATGTTTAATGATTCTGGATTATATTCATCTTTATACCAATGCAGTCATAAAAAATATATATATTTATATAAAATATATTTTTTATGGAGCAAGGGACTGACGAAGGTGAAAGTGCCTAGGGACTGTGAAAGTCATGAATCGGCCCTGCCCGCACCTTGTTGTTGTGTTTTATTTATTTATTTTAAGGTATTTATTTATTTATTTATTTGGCTGCACTGGGTCTTAGTTGCGGCATGTGGGATATAGTTCCCTGACCAGGGATCGAACTTGGGCCCCCTACATTTGGGAGCATGTAGTCTTAGCCACTGGACCACCAGGGAAGTCCACGAATGCACCCTGTTCTCAACTCTCCTTGACTTCCACGTGGTGGGGATGTTGACTGCTGGTTCCCCAGTTTCGTATTTTTTCACGTGACCCCAGTGTTTTTCGACCAGCGGTGATTTTGCCTCCCAGGGACATTTGGCAGTATCTGGAGACAGTTTTGGTTGTCACAGCTGGCGGGGAGGGGGCTCATGGCAGCTAATGAGTGGAGCCCAGAGATGCTGCTAAACATCCTACAATGCAGGGGACAGCCCCCCACCACCCAGAACTCTGGGACTAGCGGGCCTTTCTCTCTCGCCGTGAAATCTCAGGGCCTCTTCCTCTCCATACGACTCTTCTGTGTGGTCTCTCCATGAAGGGCTGGCCAACTACAGCCTGAGATGCCTGCTTTGTAAACAAAGTTCTGCTGGAATACAGCCACGCCTGTTCCCTAGGGCTGCTGTCACATCACAAGGCATTTGAGTAGGTGTGACCATATGGCCTACAAAGCCTAAAATATTTACTGTCTGGCCCTTTAAGAAAAAGCTGCTGACCCCTGGTCTACACTCTAGCAGAGATGTCTAGACCTCCTCCATGGCAACTCAGGGTTTCCAAAAGCACAAAAGTGGAAGCTGCCAGGCCTTTTTTGGGCTCAGGCCTGGAAGGGACGTAGAATCTCTTTGGCTGCATTCCACTGTTTGCAGTGAGGCATAGGGCCCCACAGATTCCATGTGCCGGGGAACTATGTGTATCTTCCACTGTCTATGTTCATGCAATCCCAGGGAAGATTCTCATTGGCTCTGCTTTGGGTCACTTGCCCACCCCTTGACCAGTCACTGGGCCAGGGTGTGAAATACTGTGATTGGCCTCATTTAGGTGCCCAGGGGTCCAGAGCACTGTGATAACCAGGACCTCATGGAAAGGGGGATATACATTGCCCAAAGGACCTGGAAGTTTTCAGTGGATTAAACCAATGTATTACTAAGTGACCGTCGGTACCCTGTCTGTTCTCAGTGCCCTCATCTGCAAAATAGGGGAAAACGCATTATCTCATCAATAGGGATTGAATGAGTTAGTGCACAGTCCAGGCTTATTATGTTGCCTGGCACGTAGAAACAATCAATAAATGTTACCCAATAATGATAACCATAAACCTCAACGTTTAATATATTGTGTACCTTTAACTTGAAAATGTACTTGGCGTATTTGTTCATGATTCTGTGTTTGTTCGAATAAGCTCCCACCTTATTTTGTGGAATATTTAAATTCTCAAATAGGGAGTGGGAGGGGAAGGGGAATTATGTGACAGACTAATTTACTGAGCTCTCAACATGCACCTTCTTTAGTCTTGAGATTGCCCTCCGGTTCCTTTAAAGCAGAGGATCTTCTAGACTCATTCAGTAATCAGGGGACTAGACTTAGTGAAACACAGATTTTTCTAATAGAATCCTCTTCCAGGGAGCTGTTTCATATTTTTAAAGAGGCTTCCTGGAGAGTATGGTTGAGAGACTATGACTGGAAAAGGGTGATTGCATTAGTATGCTTTTTTTCCCCCCTTTGATTTTCTGTTTTGGAATGTAAGCTTCATTTCTCCATGGGAAGAAGGGTCCAACAGCTCTTACTGCATAAGTTTCTCGAGTCTTGCCATAGAGATGGAGATTTTCTTCAGGGACTGTTGGAGGAAGTGAGACAGAATAATACAGCCCTGAAGCAGTGCCCCTAGCTTGGGCCAAGAGAGGGCAGGGAGCTGGCATCTGGGAATCAGGGAAAGGCTTTTTATTTCTTAATTGTTATTCTAGCCCCAGTGCCTAAAACAGTGTCTGGTTCACAGAAGGTTTTAATAAATATTGGTTGACTGACTATTGCTGATGAACAGAATAAGTAGCAAAATCTTAAGTAGTATATCACATATTTTGTGTAAAAAATAAACAAGCGTGATATTAAAACATGCAGACAAAGTGCTGATAATGGTTAAAGTTGGGCTGTTCTTGGTGATCTGACAGTAGCTGAAATTCTACCCTCTTTTAACTAGGTTCGCTGCAGGCAAGCATATGTTCACAACCTTAGTACTTTGGGCAAAATGTAACTTTAAGAAGTTTTTTCCCCCTGATTGCAAACATGATACAAAATAATTATTTGCAGCAACGTGGATGGACCTAGAGATTATCATACTAAGTGAAGTATGACAGAGAAAGACAAATATCATATGATAGCACGTATATGTGGAATCTAAAAAAAATGATACAAATGAACTTATTTACAAAGCAGAAATAGACTTACAGACATAGAAAACAAATCTATGGTTACCAAAGGAGAGGGGAGGTATAAATTAGGAGTTTGAGATTAACATATACACACTGCTATATATAAAATAGGTAACTAACAAGGACCTACTGTATAGCACAGGGAACTATATTCAATATCTTGTAATAACATATAATGGAAAAGAATCTAAAAAAGAATATTTATATATGTATAGCTAGTCACTTTGCTGTACATCTGAAACTAACACAACACTGTAAATTAACTATGTTTCAATTAAAATATTTTAAAAATACAAAGTTAAATATGAAAGGTCAGAGTGGGAGAAAATCCCTCAAAATCTTTCTCTAAGATAACCACTGTTAATGATTTGGTGCGTAGTACTGCAATTTTTCTTTTGTCCTTATAAAATATTTATTATGAAATGTTCAAACATACCTAAAGGTGAAGAGACGAGTGTCATGAGCCCCCGCATACCAATCCACTGGCTTGAGCAATGAACCCTTTTTCATGCATGTTCTAACATTACTGTGTTTTAATTTTATGCAAAATGGCTCATATGTTTATAATGCTTTTGCCAGTAGGTTTGCTCACCTAGCAAAATATTTACTCGACAGGTATTTATGGAGCACTTGCCATGTGTCAGCTTCTGTTTTGGGTACTGGGTTTACAGTAGTGATCAAAACAGAAAAAATCCTTGTTCTTGAAGAACATAGACTCTAGTGGAGCTTGAGCTACTGAATTCTTTTAAACATGTGCCTAATATTCTTTTATGTGGGTGGACTCTTAGGCTGTTTCCCCTTTCCTGCTAACGGACCTCTAGGTTGTTTCTGATTTTTTTCCTGTAACAAACAGTGCTTATCATAAGTACCTTGATATGTATGTCTTTGGAGCATTTCTGTGAAGGATGAATTCCTAGAGATTGAAGTGTCGCAATACTGAGTTTCAAAAAAGGAAGCAGTACACTCATCTGTGGTGGCTTTTGCCTCCTGGGTCCAAATATATATCTGACAAGGTCCTTCTTTGATTGCATTTTCATTCCATGCTTTTGGTCTTTACCTCCCCTCTATGTTCAGTCTGCACTGGGCTCAGAGTGGGCGGGGATGAAGGGTCGCTGTGGTTTTGAAGTCACAGAAGTTGCTGGTAGGGAGAGAAGTTGCGAAGGGTTATTTTTTCACAGTCATAGACATGAGTTTAGCATCTCACCTGTTCACCTTAATAATCCACAAGCCTGACCCTGTTGGACAGGGGAGGGAGTTGGCAGGACACAGCCGAGGCCAGGAAGCCCCAGAGGAAGTTTGGGCAATGGCGCCTACCCTCGGCACCAAAACCAATAAGCCACTTGGTGTCTTCGGTCAACTTACACATTTGGAGGGCGGACCACAATGAAGTCTGTCATGTGCAAAATGAACCCCATGACGGACACAGCTTCCTGTGGTTCCGAGGTTAAGAAGTGGTGGACCCAGCAGCTGACAGTGGAGAGTGACGAAAGCAGAGATGACCTTCTGGACATTTAGATGGAAACCAATGCAGATGAAAGTCCACTGGTGAAAACTGACTTCTGATAGGATCTTTCATTGTCCAGTGAGCAATCTGTAATTGATATATAATTTAAGTCCAACTTGTAACAAGATTTTTTAAACCGGAAAAAAAAATATCCAGAAGCCTTTGGATAACAGCATTGTGATGTGGAATGGTTTCTCAGAATTCTGAGAGCATCGTGATGGTGTTTCCTGCAAGCAGTTTTGTTTCCCTGGGTGATTGAGATGCCTGGTGGTTGCCAGTGACAGACCCAGAGTTATTAAGTTGGACAATGCTGTAAGCAACACGGGGGCCCAAGGCCTAACAGAATCAGGAGAGCCTGGCCTTGTGTGCGAGCAGTGATGAAATCAGGTTCAAGCCAGCATATTTGGGGAATTAATAATTCAAAACTCAAGTACTAGATCTGAAAGAAACTTGGAAGAGGGCAGGGCAGAAAGGCTGGGCTTGTCACAGTGATGTCAGGGCAAAAGGAAAATATCGTGCAGCTTTCAATTTTGCTTCTGCATGGAATTCTCCCTGAAAGCGCTTTCTTTATTTTTTTTGTTTTCCAACGGTCACGATGAATTCATGTGGATCCACCCACCCCTCTTGCCTGATTACTCAGGGGGCCAAAAGAAGGTGTTTTTAGGATGACTGTTGAAGTAAGAGATGTGGTTAGTGCAGTGATGTTCATCGTATGAGCCTTTGAGCTAAGTTAATTCAACTCCACCCACGCAACAAAGGAAGGGAGTGGGTAACAACAATTAAAATTGCATCGGCTAATTCATTAATATGTTGACAAGTGACTGTGGTTATGAAGTGGCTTTTCCCTTTGTTGGATTCTGCCCCTTTCGCTGTGTGAACAACTCTCTGAGTGATTGTAACTCTAGAGTGTGGCTCCCAGCTTTATCTGGTGCCCACCCACAGAACTGAGGATCACTCCAGGGTACCCGTGGGATTTCAAGAGTCCTTGGTCTTCACCATGGCATCTGGGATTCTCCAGGATAATTTTGATTACATGTTTCTCTTGTCTTGCTTAGGAGTGTAACCCTCTATATGATGCAGTTTCCCTGTATCAGGCAGGACTGAAGGACTTAGTCAGTCATAACTGTTCCACTCTATTCTTTTTTTTTAATATTTTATTGAAGTATAGTTGATTTACAGTGTTGTTAATTTCTACTGTACAGCAAACTGATTCAGTTATACATATATATATTCTTTTTCATATTCTTTCCTATTATGATTTATCACAGGATATTGAATATAGTTCCCTGGGCTATACAGTAGGACCTTGTTGTTTATCCATCCTGTATATAATAGTTTGCATCTGCTAATCCCAAACTCCCAATCCATCCCTCCCACCCCTCCTCCCCCTTGGCAACCACAGGTCTGTTCTCTATGTCTTTGAGTCTGTTTCTGTTTCGTAGATATGTTCATTTGTATCATATTTTAGATTCCACATATAAGTGATATCATATGGTATCTGTCTTTCTCTTTCTGACTTACTTCACTTAATATGATCATCTCTAGATCCATCCATGTTGCTGCAAATGGTATTATTTTATTCTTTTTAAAAATTTTTTTATTGGAGTATAGTTGATTTATAGTGTTGTTAGTTTCAGGTACACAGCAAAGTGGATCAGTTATACATACACATATATATATACTATTTTGTTTTTTAGATTCTTTTCCCATATAGGCCATTACACAGTATTGAGTAGAGTTCCCTGTGCTATACAGCAGGTTCTTATTAGTTCATTCTTTCTTATGGCTGAGTAGTATTCCATTGTATATATATAAACCACATCTTCTTTATCCATTCATCTGTTGATGGACATTTAGGTTGCTTCTGTGTCTCGGCTGTTGTAAATAGTGCTGCTATGAACATAGGGGTGCATGTATCCTTTCGAATTATTTTGTCTGAGTATATGCCCAGGAGTAGGATTGCTGGATCATATGGTAGCTCTATTTTTAGTTTTTCTGAGGAACCTCCATACTGTTCTCCATAGCGGCTGCACCAATTTACATTCCCACCAACAGTGCAAGAGGGTTCCCTTTTGTCCACACCCTCTCTAGCAATTATTATTTGTAGACTTTTTAATGATGGCAGTTGTGACTGGTGTGAGGTGATACCTCATTGTAGTTTTGACTTGCATTTCTCTAATAATTATGTTCCAGTCTATTTTTTAGACCATTAGAGTTGTTGCAAATCCAGCGATGCCCCAACTTAGTGCTGTTAATAAATATATGTTAGATTCCAAATCTGCCACCCATTTAGTCCGTACTTTAAACACTGAGAATCTCTCACTGTTCTGCCCCCTCCTCCAGTTCCCCAAATTCATATGTTAAGGCTCTATCCCCCAACATGTGGAGGCTTTGGGAGATAATTAGGTTTAGATGAATTCATAAAGGTGGTCCCCCATGATGGAATTAGTGTCCCTGGAAGAAGAGGGACGAGGGCTCCCTTTCTTTCTGCCACATGAGGACACAGGGAGAAGGTGGCTGTCCATCAGTCAGGAAGCGGGTTCTCTCCAGGATCTCAGTCTACTGGCCTTCCCAGCCACCAGAACTTTGAGAAATACATGCCTGTTGTTTAAGCCGCTTTGCCCATGGGTCTGTGGTGTTTTGTTAAAGCAGTTAGGGCAGATGAAGACACCAACGGAGAGATTGCACTCGGAGAAGGAATAGACTGTATGCTAAGAAAAAAGATTGTTGCAAACCCATCCAGGTGTGTGATACGTCAGCTCTGCAGGACCAAGATCAGGGCTCTATTTGGTTCCTTGGGCTCAGGCTTTTTTTTTTTTTTTTTCCCTTTGGTAGCGCTGCTGCATGTTAAGGCCAGGAAGGTATTTACTGACACGATCCAAGGGAGATAAGACTTGGGCTAGTGGGATAAAACTGAGCAGGACACGTGTAGTCAGAATGGAATGATCTGGAAGTCAACTCCAAAGTTGACTGACATGGGGATCACATTGCTTACATCCCATGATAAACTGATCTAAATGCTGGTAAGAACTTTTGATCACACTGCCCTGCAGCCTCCAGAGAGGAGGAAGAAAAGCATGATTTCCGTTCTCCTTCCCCTATTTTCTACGTCTACAGGATTCAAATCATAGCTGCCATGGAAACTGTGCTTTGGAATTTCTGGAGCCCTTAATTTTAACTTAGGATAGGAAAACACTTTTATGCTGATTTTATAATTATTCACGATGACGAGAAAGTGACTAAGTGTCTCCTGACAGCTAGGGAAGACATCACAACACTTTCTTCTTTCTTCCTTTCTTTTCACTTTCATAAAGATGCGTGTATTTGAAGCACGTTATGGATCAGGAGTCACTCTTCCGTCTTTTGCAGATTCTGACATCGTAGCTGAGTTGCAGGAGCTCCAGCCTTCAGCAAAGGACTTTGAAGGGAGAAGTGTGGTAGGTTGTGGTAACTTTGCCGAAGTGCAGGTGGTCAGAGAGAAAGCGACCGGGGACATCTATGCCATGAAAGTCATGAAGAAGAAGGCTTTGTTGGCCCAGGAGCAGGTAGGAGAGTTTAAGATCACAGCATTTTCCCCCTTTCTGTACCAGCATGTTCATTGCAGAGATGAGAATCTGCTGAATTGGCATCTGGGCTGGAGCCAGTTTTCCTCTGCCTCTCTAGTTAATTATGGTGGCACAGCCAGGAAGGTCTGAACACTCTTGAACTGACATTGACTAGTTTTGAAGACTGACAAGCTCCCCTGAGTTGCTTTTATAGTTGCATATTATTCAGAACCAACTTGGCCTTTTCACTAATGAATTGGAGATGATCTTTCATGACCATCCCTTGGGGATTCAGAGATGTGCATGTCATGGGGTGAGTCGGATAGCCTTTGCTTTTGTACACATCTTATATATTTGTGTTGTGGGCATGTGTATTTGATTTTAAAACAGGCCTCTGAAGAAATTAAATTGTTCTATGGCTAGGGAGTTGCTGGTTGGAGAGCAGGTGAGAAGTTATCTTTCCTGTTGTGGTGTTTTTCTCTTTTAAACAAGGCTACTGCTTCCAGACAGTATTGATTCATTTGCCTCGTTTCTAGAGAGGCGGCCATCAGCCTTGGTGTTCAGACAGCAATTTATTAGTTACCCATGTTCAGGTGCACATCATGTGTCTGATAATGGACCCAGCTCTGTGGGAAGCCTGCAAAAGGAATCGAAGCTCCATGGCTGTTAATTTCAGGGTTTTAGAACAACCTTGGAAAGTGGAGGTAAAACACAGATACGTAAAGCAGGCACTTAGGAGCTAAAGCATCACAGAAGAGGGAGCAGTTAGCAAATTCATGAACGATAGAATGAGGAGAGGTGTGGGTGAGCCAGAGACAGTTAGGGAAGGTTCACAGTGCTGAGAGGGAGCATGGGCTCCGGACAGAGAGAAGTGACGAGAATGTACCAGGTAGAAGTGTGGTGTGCATGCCGTTCTGGAGGTGTGAGTATTAGAACGCTACGCAGATGTGTTTGTTTGTTTTTGTTGTTTAAGTGGTTTAGAACGAATAGACTGGGAAATGGGGAGAAATAAGGATACTGGAGTTGGGAGGGGGTGATTGGTGGGAAACCTCAAGGACCCTTTTTCGGTTACTGTGATAAAATACATGCAACATAAAATTTACCATTATAGCCATTTTTAAGTGTACAGTTCAGTGGCATTAAGTACATTCACAGTGTGCCACCATCGCCGCTGTCCTGCAGAACTTTTTCATCATCCCAGATAGAAACTCTACCCATTAAATAGTAACTCACCCTCCCCAAGAACTGCTTTTCGGAGTCACAGTTTAATTTGTGAGACGTTTGGGGATCATGCAGGTTTTTGGAAGAAGGAGGCTGGGGTCTGGGTCTGAGTACTTAAGTGACTGTGTGGTCTCCAGTCAGAGACTCAGCGGAGGGCAGCAAGCTGCTTGTCAGCATCCGGGAAAGCTGTGGCGTGCGTTCAGGAATGAAATGTGGGCAACTTCACAGAAAGGACAAATGACAGGATGTGGCAAATCATTCGGAAGAGAGGCGTGGAAGATGCCCACTCAGCCACCCAGCACCTAACAACCACCTGTCATCAGGCCACACCTGCTGAGCACCTGTCGTGTCTGGTGTGTTCCTGGGTCCTTGGAATAGGCCTTAGATTTAGGCTTGTGCTGCTTATATTTCAGGTGGGAAATGGTGCATATCAAAGGAAGCAAATTCAGCGTCTGCCATACTGCTGGCAAGTGATGGAGACACTCACATAGGTGTGCGTTCCTCCAGGTGAATGACTTGAGATGACCCCTTGTGAGGCGTGGGCTGGGAGATTTAAAAATCGCACACACCCGGGAGCTAATTAAACCCACCCACCCATTCCTTACCTGAGCCACGGTGAGGCTTTGGAATTGAAGGTTGTGAGAAGAGAAGTCAGCACAGGGAGTTGGGGGAAGGAAGTGCCAGAGAGGAGGTGAGAAGAGGTAGCATCCTGTGAACAAGACCTGTCACCTAGGAGAAGCCAGCAACCCCTCCCAGAGCTCCATGAAAACTGGAAGAGGTCCTCAGAGACCGTTTGTTTTAATAGAAGCTTCAGGGGTCAGACGAGGCGTCAATGATAAGCAAGTGAAGGTGTAGACCCTTCTGTCCAGCCAGCCTTCACTGAACACTTTTTATGTGCCAGGAAAACAGAAGGATCAGCAAATCCCACACGGTAGATTTTGGGGGTTGGGTTGGTGTTTCCCAGATGTGTTGGAGGTTAAACTGGTGGTGTGCATGATGATTTTGGGCAGTACACGGACAGAAAACTATTTTAAAACATTTAATAGTTTAATATTAACTGGCATATCAAAACCTGGCACTTTCACAGATGTTACTCTTAGAACGAAGTGGAAGAAGGTGTATTTAAAATTAAATTACTTGGAAACAGTCACAAATTTACAGAAAAGTCGCAAGTATAGTGTGTCAGTCAAGGTTCTATAGTATATATATATGATACATGCTATCTATACACATTGACTATACATACATGTACACATTGAATATACGTACATGTACACATTGACTATACATACATACACATATGTGTATGACTTACCTGACTGTGGGCGTTAGGAAGGCTGAAATCTGTAGGGCAGGTCAATAGGCTGGAAACTCTTGGGCAGAAGCTGGTGATGCAGTCTTGAGGCAGAATTTCTTCTTTCTCAGGGAAGCCTCAGTTTTGTTCTTAAGACCTTTCAACTGATTGGATGAGGCACACCCAAATTATCAAGGATAACCTCCTTTACTAAATTAACTACCGCCTACACAATAGCCTCACTGCAACACCTAGATTAGTGTTGGCTTGAATGACTGGGTGCTAGAGCCTAGCCAAGTTGACACAAAAAACTATCACATATAGTATCAACAACTTCCTTTTCCTGAACCATGTGAAAATCACTCGCCAGCCCGATGCCCCATTATCTCCAGGTACTTCAGAGTACATTTCCTGTAATAAGGACGTTTTCCCATGAATGACAACACAACCATCAAAATCAGGAAATCAACCATGATAAAATTACCACCATCTAATCCTCAGGCCCCACTCAGGGTTCACCAGTTTGTTCCATGATCTTTTAGAACAAAAGGATTCACTTCAGGATCCCACGTGGCATTTAGTTGTCCTGTCCCTCTAGTCTTTTCAGTCTGGAACAGTCCCTTAATTTCTCCCAGACTCTCATGACCTTGGCGACTCTGAAGATTATACGCCAGTTATTTTGTAAAATTTAGATTTGTCTGATGTTGCTCATGCTGAGATTCAGGTTCAGGCAGGATTATCACAGACAGGATGCTCTGTTCCTCTCATTGTATCCCAACAGGTGAGTCTCAATTTCAGTTTGTCACATTCCTGAGGGTGTCACTTTGGTATCTGCCACACTTCTCCACTGTGGAGTTAACTCCTTTCCCCTTTGTAATTACATACATATATTTTGGAAGGAGATACTTTCAAACTATGGAAATACATATTTCTCATAAAACTTTCAATCCATGAATTTATTTATATTTGTATGGACTTGCATTTTCCTGTCAGTGAGTTACAGTCCATTCCTGTCATAATATATTTTTATACTCAAATTGTCCCCAGTTGGCCAATGAGAGAAAAGGGAACCCTCTTGCACTGTTGGTGGGAATGTAAATTTATACAGCCACCATGGAGAATAGTATGGAGGTTCCTTAAAAAACTAAAAATAGAATTACCATATGATCCAGCAATCCCACTCCTGGGCATATACCCAGAGAAAACCATAATTCAAAAAGACACATGCACCCCAATGTTCATTGCAGCACTGTTTACAATAGCCAGGACATGGAAGCAACCTAAATGCCCATTGACAGACTAATGGATAAAGAATATGTGGTACATATATACAATGGAGTATTACTCAGCCATAAAAAGGAACAAAATTGGGTCATTTGTAGAGACTTGGATGGACCTAGAGATTGTCATACGGAGTGAAGTAAGTTAGAAAGAGAAAAATATTGCATATTAGCGCATATATGTGGAATCTAGATAAATGGTACAGATGAACCGGTTAGCAAGGCAGAAATAGAGACACAGATGTTGAGAACAAATGTATGGACACCACAGGGGGAAAGTGGGGGTGGGGTGGGATGAATTGGGAGATTGGGATTGACATGTATCCACGAATATGTATAAAATAGATAACTAATAACCTGCTGTATAAAAAATAAATAAAATTATTTAAAAAAAAAATCTCTTCAGGTTGGCTTTTGTGTCCTTTTGACATATTCCCCATCTTTGAGTTCTGTGTTGCTTTCTGATACAGCAAGATGTTCAGGCTCTTACACTTTTACTTTATCTGCCCCAGACCTGCAATCAGTCATTTCTCCAAGGACCTCTTTTTGTTTTGTTTTTTTTTTTGTTTTTAAGTGGAAAATGGTATTTAGAGGCCATGATCTGGGCACTAGGTGTTCTGATTGCTATTGGGATGTCATTGCTCTCAGACGCCTTTCAGTGGACAAAGCCAGGGAATACATGTACATGTATGCAGTATACCTACCTTCACACACACAGACACACACACACACATTTACATCTCTGTTTATTTCTGTATCTATCTCTATATGTTGAAAACCATGTGTTCACATCAACACTTCCAAGTCCAGTCCAGCTTCACAAGGTTCATTGTAATTTTCACACTTTCCATGTTTGTAACTCTCTTCTCTGGTATCACCCTTAATATTTTTTACTTATTTTATGCATCTGTGTCCATCCAATCTACTGTGTTTGCTGCTTCCCCCTCCCCTTGGTGGGTTGATGCCCTGC